AAACCCTGTGTAACAATTTTATGTCCTGAAGCTCAACATGTATGTTCTCATTTTGAGCATAAGTTGCTAATGCCATAGTTGAAATCTTCTTTCTTACAGAGCAGGGGTCTCCAAACTATTGCCCGCGGACCAACACCGGCCCACGAGAATAACCAATCTGGCCTGCGTTAGTGTACCAGACAAACCCTGTATCCAGCCCTCCATAGTTTATTTTGATTACATTGTAAAATTTACAATATAAGTAAATCATATAAAATAATAATTAGATGTTTTTATTTAACAACCAATTAAGAAACACAATAAGTGACATACATAGGTAATTCACATAATGAAATTAAACATTATAATTATGATTAATGAGATTTATGTAGCTGTAACTTTCCACTGATAATTGTTTGCCGGTTGTGGATTAAGTTTACTAATGGAAATTATCAACAGCAACCTACTCGTCAGTTAATTTGGATCTGTAAATACTTTTTGTATATTTCATTTTGGAGAATTTTTTCACACAGATAAGTAGTGCTAAAAGTGGAAAAAAAAGCCACGAGCAAATTTTTGCAACTGATCAAACTGAGTGGAAGACACTTATAAAATTCTAGCAATGATGACTTTAAATATTTTTTTTTAAAAATATCATTACACTGCAAATCAATCATTTCCATTTGAAGTTCTGGGGCAAGGGTTTCTATATCAGTGTTAAAAGGATTTTGAAAAATCGTGATATTGTTTGCAATTGCATCGAAATCTGAAAAACAAGACTCAAAATTTATTTTTAAAGCACCCAAAGCTTCAATTGTGAAATTTACTGGAATTAGAGTCTCAGTTTGCTGACTGAATATTTGGCATGTATTAAAATGCGTGAAACATTTTTTGTTCAATTGAGATTGAAATAAAACAATTTTTTGTTGAAAGAACTTAATATGAGTGTATAAATCAGGCAAAAGCTGGTTTTCTCCTTGTAATTTTAAATTAAGGTCATTCATATGTTTAGTTAAATCTGTATAAAATGATAACTTCCATAACCACTCATTGTTTTGTAACTCAGCCAGTGGATGATTCCTTTTATTCAAGAAAATTTTGATTATTGCTTGCAGCTCAAAAAATCACATTAGAACTTTTTTGCAGCTAAGCCCTGCGTACTGCATAATATGGTAAGTCATTTTCTCCAATCCTTTCATTAAACTTGCGGAATTAATGATTGAGCACATATGATCTGATATAATTAACAGCTGACATGACTGGCTTTAAAACTTCTGACATAGCCAAGCATTTTCTGCACAAAGACTGTTGATAAATGATGCAATGTACGATTAGTGATTTTGAACCATTGTCATTTTCTACCGTCTATGATACAAGAGCAACAACACCTTTATTTTTTCCACACATTTTTGCCACCATCAGTAGCATTACATGTCAAGTTTTTCCATTGAAAATTGTTTAACTCCTTTAAAAATATCTTCTCTAGTGGTCATGAATGTTATAAATGTCAAGACTCTCTTCATACACTTCATAATTTTTATCTATCCCTTGAATAAAAACTAACACTTGAGCAATATCTGAAACATCTGTTGACTCATCCAGGCCTAAGAGAACCACATAGCTTTAATATCATGATATATAAAATTAGTTATGCGAAAAATTTGAAAATAATAATGATTATTATAAGGTGTCATATTAAGTGTCAATTTTTGTCAGACAATTGAGTTAATATATTTTCTGCAATATCATCTACTCTTCAAGCCACAGTGTTTGCTGACAAACTGATGTAAATAAGTTATTTTTTTCTGGACACATTTCTTTTGTTGTTGCAATCATGCAATCCTTAATTAATTTGCTGTCATTAAATGGTTTTCCATGTTTCGCTATTGAATGGACCACGCAGAAACTAGCACGAGTTGCTGCTTCTTGTTCAGCATTTACTTTCTTACACAACAATTGCTGAGATTTCAACCCATGTTTCAAAGATTCATATTTTTCTAACTGTAGGCTTCCTGTAAATTTGAAGTAATTTTGAGAATGTTTAGTCTCGTAATGACGTTTTATATTGTATTCTTTGAGGACTGATATTGTTTCATTGCAAATTATACACATTGCCTTATTACTTGACTCAATCATAAAATATTGATATCCTTATTGCTTTTTAAATGTTCTGCATTCACTATCTATCTTTTGTTTCTTTTGTGTAGATTTGTATAAATATGGAAAAGTGATGTAACTTCAAATCAAAATAATGTCAATTAATACTATTTAGAGCAGGAGTTCTGAGTAAACAAAATACACTGGATTTATCTTTAAGACACTTTTAATTAAATTAAACACTCACAATTAAATGCACTGTATTTTCACTAAAAAACTATAGTCACAAAACACACTAGTTGCACTATATTTCACTTTTCAGATCAAACTTGTTGCTCCAAATTCAAACTTTGGAACTGTCCAACTCTTGGTTGTCTCCTGTATTTGTACCATGCATCCTCCACAAGATGTCACTACTATACATGTAGCATGGTCGTAAGTAGTCATAACAATACATAATGCAAAGCATGCGCATTGGCTATCTCTGCTGAAATGAAATGTCCTTGACACTTGCCCATAAATACCAACTGAAATTGTGAATGGAGATCAGTCAACCCCCACGTCCTGCACCATAGATATCTCACTCATCAGCTAGTTCCAAAACGAAAATTTGCACATAATTCAAAACTACAGTATGTTGGTATTTTGAGCTAGCTAGATCTTGGCCCTTGGGACTTAGTGGCGGAGTCAGTGTGGCCCTTAGGCTAAAAAGTTTAGACACCCCTGTTATAGAGTATTCATGCTTCTTCATCCTAACCCCAAGACCCTTCACTGTCACATCGATATATGAGTTGCTTACTTGCCAAATTGATTAACTCCACAAAACAAAAAGTATAAAAATTGAGAATATAAATTATTTTTTAAAATTCCTTTTAAACTTTAAATTTAAATAAACATTGCAGAATGTATTATTATATATCAATATATTAAAGCTATGTTTTAATATAACGATATATAAAATTAGTTATGCAAAAAATTTGAAAATAATAACAATTGTATTAAGGATTTATAAATGGAGTTAATCAATTTGGCCTGTGAATGGCTCATATAATAATGTGTGGTTGATTCGGTTATAGGACACAAGTACTGCATAAATACCGGGAGAGTAAAAATCATGTATAATGTTTATATCATTTCTAATGAGTGAAAAAATTGTTGGAGTGTGTCGATATGCTAAGTGCACCTTAGTGGTCCTGGTGATTTTTCTGTAGATTTTAGAAAGTGTTCTATTATATGTAATAACTTTTATTTGTTCTTCCTGTGGTATGGTTTTGTTCTCAGCATGTAGATATTGTTTCACAAGAGATTTAACCAGAGAGGAAGGGTATTCATGTTGTATTTCCAACAATGTAATCCATGACAATTCCTTTTCTTTTTTACTCTCCTCCGAACAATGTGTGTGGGGCCCTCTTTACAAGAGATTGAAAAATGGAAACTTTGTAATGATGAAGATCATGCAAGTTGTATGGTATGGATAGAGGTGAATATGACTCCTTACAGTAAACAAAGGTGGAAAGTTGACCGTGTTCCAATCTGATGTTAATGTCCAAAAAATGTATAGCTTTATGGCTGTCTTGGTCAACCTGCAACGTTAGGCAAAAAGTGTTATCATTGAAGTACCTAAGCACTGAGTCAAGGTTAGGTATTTGCTTCCACACAATGAGAATTCAGTCAATGCATCTGATGTACAATGCTATATCTTCATAAAATTTAGGCAATATGGCATTCTCATGCTTTCTGACTACTAATTCACATCAGGTTCCCTATAGAAGGCTACCCATAGGTACTGTTCACCCCTACTCTGTAGGTAAGTGACACCTTTGTATTCAAAGAAGGAAGAATGAACCATTAAATGTGATAGATAATATTGATTTATCTCACTTAAAGAAATATTTATTATTTGTTAATTACGTAGTTGCTGGTACCGGTATTGGTTTTGTTGTGTGTGTTTATTACAAGTATTTTCATTCTCGAGAAATTGTTCTTAAACTATAAGTATTTAATTCTTTTCAGCCAACCTGTACTTGGTCTCAACTTATCCATCAACTCTGTTGTGGTAGGTTGCCTTCTCATTCATGGTGATGGTGTTTCTATTATATCATTCTGCCAGTTTCCATGCAGATTTTGTGTTAAAGGTTTTTCAACTGCATGTGCATGATGTTCTGTTGTTTCATTGATAAATTGGTTTTAGAAACTACAGAATGTCATGCAGATGTGATTGTAAAAGTCATTAACATTAATTCCCATGAAAACTGATAGAGTGATATAATATTGACATCATCACCATTAACGAGAAGGTGCTTATAGATTCCATTGTGGTAGGTTAAGTTGAGACTACATATAGAAATTATGATTTTAATATAAAATACAAGCATTTATTTTGTCACTTAATTTTAATTCCTTTGGTTTCAATTTATTCAAGATTTCAATTCAATATTTACACTGTAGAACGAACATAAGACCACAAAAAATGTTCGTTCTACAGTGTAAATATTGAACTTTACTGCTGGATTATGGGTGTATTATGTAAGTTTAAATTTATTTATTTATTTATATTTTTAAATTTAAATTGGTTTTTCTTATTTTTAAAATTGTTTTATATGTGACACTAGTTCAGTTCATTTCAGACTTCAAAAATTTGTAAAATATAGTTTATATATTACATTCAGTATCTCATAGAATTCTTATGAAACAAATTAATTAAATATTAAGTATAAAAACAATAAACACTTTTAAATTTTTCTTAGATCTCTGTAGTGTTATTTTACTATTTAATACAGCATATGAATTATTCTCTAATTAACAAGTTAATATAAATATTACTTAATAATTAATGTAATTTAACAAAAGAATAAATTTAATATAAAATTATTACTGGTTAGAAAGTTGTTTTTTGTAATATGTTTTTTATAACAATTTTTCAGACCTTTTTAACTAATCTACAGCGAAGGGAAGAATTTCTGAATGTGGAGTTACAAAAAAAGTTCCTATTGAAAGCTCAGACACATTTACGATTGTTTTGCTTAGAACAATCGTTGTTTTCAGGTATTAAAAATATTAATTTGGTATTTTCATGTAATGTAAAATTAATGTATTTAATGCTAGCATTAGCATTATAGATATTAAAATAAATTTCAAAATTTAATTTTTTATAAAGTTGAATGTTTAATTTTTTTTCTCTTATTGAACATTTTAGATAATAATGTTTTAATTAATGCCACTTTAACAACTATCTTTATTTAACACATATGTTTTTCTCTGCAAATAAGGTGTTGATAAATTCGATATTTTTGTGCTGAGGATGATTTTTAATACAGATATGTAGTTTAATTATGACAGTTGTTTGAAATTTAACACATTACTGCTAATGTGATATTGTGTTCTTTGTTTAAAAGCATATTTTAAAACTTTACCTCACATTTTGTTTGCGTAAAATCAAATAAAAATGTCTGTAGATAAAATGCTTATCAGGCATATTATGTATGCTTCTTAAGTTTCATAAAGGGTATAATGCTATACAAACAGTAAAAAATACTCATAGTATACAGTAGACCCCCTATAATGCGGGTTTATATAATGCGGATTCATATATTGCAGCGAAAAAATTGCAACTGTATTTGTATAAAGACGCTAAAAGACTCATAAAATGCAGTAAAACGTCATAGCGACTCGTGTCGCGACAGGATTGGTCGAATCTGGACCAATAGTGGACAAGCAGCCAAACTACTTACACGCTATGAAGAGTTTAGGCGGGTAAGTTGAGTTTACTATCGTCTGTACAGTATATAAATTAGGTACTGTAAGTCTAATACAGTACTGTAATTTTATACAATTCTTGTGAAAAAAACATTTCTTATTCAATGGCCATAAAAATTATTTCTATTAATGATGTCTCCAAAGTTCAACGAATTTTTCGCAGAAAAATAATTTATCAGAAAATGTGCCCGCCGTTTGGTGCGCTGCTCCGTGATGAAAACAAGCTTAAACAATAGTGTCGTTGAACGGTGCACACTCGTTAAGTAATCCTACAATTTTTTGTTTATAACATAGTTTATACGGCTTATTCCCAAAAAATTATACGTGTTTTGGAAATGAGTCAAATTAGTCTAGAATCGATTAATTTAATGGAAGAAAACCTTTCAAACAGTCGTAGTCCATAAACTGCACACTGTCGAGCCTGTGATTGGCTCATGTAGTTAAAGATTCCTACAACGTGAAATTCGTATAAAGTGGAACGTATCTACTGCATTATAGGGGGGTCGACTGTATTTGGAAGATGCTCCTAAATGTCAGGCATGTCAAATGTGGTTTTGATAGTTTAGTTTGGAAAATTCTGAAATAAAGGATACAAAATGTATGATGTTCCCAAAAGCTGTTGATAAAGATTTCAAGAAAAAATTGTTAAAATCAGCAAATAATAATTTGTGAACTAGCAACAAACTTAGTGTGTCACCAACATGATGATTGTATTCTGCATACATTAAGTGAAAAAATACAAATTGGATTGAGTATAATTTTGTCTGATGAAGGCATACAGCTCTAAGGTTTCATTTTATTTGTAAATTAGTTACACATTTTTATTAGAGAAAACTTTTATTTCATCTGTAATAAAAGTTTTCTATGATAAAAATGTGTAACTAATTTGCAAATAAAAAATATTTGTTCTTAACCATAAATTTGTTCTAGTGGGTAGTAATTGTTCAGTTGAGTACCAAGGCGCCACTGTATTTGATTAATGCAATTTTAATATACCTGGTAGCATTGAGTGATTAATTAACTGTGTTAATCAAGGGATACTGTACATGAATTTTAATATTAAATCATTACAATATTACTGGTATAAAATACAAACTGTACAGAAGTTTGAGAATATATAAAAAAATACTAACATTGTTATGAATAAATTTAAGAAACAATTATTAATCAAATTTTTATTAGAATCAATAATTTTATATAAATACTTATCCTTTTTATTATAAATAAGAATTTATTGAATTAAATATTTTGAATAATTTAATTATTAACCAAAAAATAAAATATTAAAATATGTTCTTTCTTTGTTTTTGCTTAGAATTCCTTTTATTGTAGAATTTTTAACTTCATAAATTTTCAGTAAGGAAAGGTTTTAAAAAAAATTGCAAAGTGTACATTATGAAAAATCAAAAAACACAACACCTTAATTTGCTAAGAAAAATTTAATGAAAAGTAAACATTTTCAGCCAAATCTATTGGCCATCATCAGGCTAAGATATTCGAGTATAAACAAAATAGAACAAAAAATTTAAATACAAATAAAATAAAATAACGAATGAAGTATATATATATATATATAAATGNTAAATATTAAAACGTTATACAATAATACATTATATGAGATTCTGCAAAAAAAATACTAAAATCAAGGCACTAAATTAAGAGCTCTCTAATCCTTTGATTAAGTATTTCCAGGCCGAAGGCAACCCTTTCAAATCTCTAGAATTAATGCATGCATCATGCAATCTGCTCTTATATATTTCAATTTTTTCGGCGCAAATCACCGAATGATGGCCAACAGATTTTGCTGAAAACGTTTACTTTTCATTAAATTTTTCTCAGCAAATTAAGGTGTTGTGTTTTTTTGATCTACATACTGCTGAGTGAGTGTACCTCAGTTTACATTATGTTTAAAAAATCTGTTAATAATTATAATTAACTCTCTCACTAGTCAATGCCTTGTTAAATTAAGGTGAGAGAGCTTAGTAGTTTTAGTGAACCATTGAACAATGCCAATAGGAGCATAAACTTTCAGTAAGGCCACCATGTCAGTAAAGTCTATGGGGAGAAATGAAGCAAAAAGTGACCTATAAGCAGCAGTTGATCTATAAACACCTGGTTTTAGGTATATAAGCATACCTTACTTTTTACTTTATACCTTACTTACTTATAAGCATACTTTTCCTTACTCACTTCTGTTGAGAAAACAAAAAATGATTGTTACTTGTTCACAGTATGATACTGGTATAGACATTGTCCTGGTTTACAAGGACTATACATATGGGTTAGGCAGAGGCTCAAATTCAAAAAAAATCTATTAGTGCTGAATTCAGCACTGACCCAGGGATGGCTATTGCATCACAAATACAATGGTCAACAAATACCAAACCAGCCAACATGCTTCAGTGGGAATTCCAATTACTGGATTGCCTGACCTGGTGGAGATTGGGGACTTAAAATCCCACTTCTTGGACACCACTGTAAGTTTGCCGATTAGGGGGGATTTTATTCCCTCTTGTCAGGATGGACTAGGGGCTACTTGTATGTGAGTGGTGGTTTTAAGAGGCAGCAAAAGACAAGTATTTCACAAAGAAACCGTTTATTTTTTTGAAGATTATGCTTACAAACAATTGACAAGATCTCAGATATCGCTGTCCTGGCGGTTGGATGTCTCCAGTGGTTTTCTTTTTGTCTCGCAGTGGTGGAGCCCCGGGACGATGGCAAGTTAGAGTTCAGAGTAGAAAGTAACACGAGATAGCGACAAGCAGAAGCACCAAGAGAAGAGGGTGATGATCACAACAGTGTACTCGAGAGGAAGTCTTTCATCCTTGATGGTGAAGGTTTTATAGTTTCCTTGGGATCACATTATTTCTAATTGGTTGGGCTTTTCCTTACCCCATTGGTCTCTTACCTGTCTCTGGGTGAAAATTGAGACCAGATTAGGTTGCGAGAAAGGTCTGCCCAGGATGGTTTATTCGACACCATCCTCTCAACTATGATCGTGCTTTGTTAATGTCCCATTCTTTACATTTTTGCTTCATCTTACTTTATTGCATCTTAAGTTAAAGAAAATTAATTAAAAGGGAAATATTTAATCTAAAATTTTGTTTTTCCTGCTATTCTTTATGAGCGACGATGTCAAAGTCTGGTGACGCCAACTCGACACTTATATAACTTGTTTTCTTTGCAGTTTAACTTAACAAATTTTACATTTTTCTTTTCTTTTTAAATCCTTTTTTGACTATTTCCGGGGCCTTACATTATTGACCACCAAGCATCATACCAATGGATGATGTGGACACAAGAAATGAATTAATTCAACATCCATATTTACTACACCATTACAAAGCTCAAAACAGACATGACAGCATACAGATAGATACTACATGATAAATTCACACAAAATCAAATACCAAGTTGCACAACAGAAACACTAGATCATACAGAAGATCAGACACTCATTAACAGTACCTCAATGGCAATCACTCATGAAGTTGTACACAGCATAACATAAACACCATGACATTTACAACTAGTGACACTATAGTTACAGAATTAATCTCACAGTCACAAATTTATTTTATGAAATACTCACTAAATATGCAAGTTTAGCTTTTCTTTAGGTCATTTACATTCTAAAATTGGAATATGTTGAGGATTCAAAAAAGACCTTGAATACATTGGATCCACCAAATGTTCAATCTGTAAGAGGCTATTGGAACATCAGTATAATATAGAACATGGAAAACACACCACTGCCCTGTCAGTGTATACCTCTGAGAATAATATGCAAGTAGATCTCAAAAATGCCATTTTTATCAGACAATCCCAGCACTCTGATCACCTCAGAACACTACAAGCATTGAAAATTTACAAATCTGAAATTAAGGGCAGATGTTTAAATCCATGGTTCTCAATCTGTTTGAAGTTGGGGAACACTAAACTTTGGCGATTTTTTTTGTGGAACACTTACAATACATCACCTTTAAAGCAGGTGGTGACAAACTATTTTGAAATCAAGAGTGCCCTCAGTCTAGTATATGACGTCATTGTCATTTGCTGATTATATTCCCATACAAAAATTATTTTACATTGTATTGATTTTTCTTTTGCAACAATTTTTAATTGTATGTTTGATTTTTTCGTGGAACACTTGAAGTGGCTTCACGGAGCACCCATGTTCCACAGACCACAGATTGAGAACTATGGTCATAAACTACAAGAGAGAAAAACCCTTTGTACACCTGGCAATACTTTAAACCCAACATCATCCAACTTAAAATAACCAATCAAATTGCATAAAAATCATTATTTGAGTGTTCATAATTTTTATTAATTTTTTAATTAATGCATTTGATATGTAGTAAATAATCTTTTATCAAACTCCTCTAAGATTTTATATTGTTTTATTATATTTTTTCACAATGTATAATATTATATAATAATTTTAAAATTTTGTAATGCATTCTACAATTCATTCCAATTTTAGAATTAAATGACCTGAAGAAGACCAGTATTGATCAAAAACATTTGTCAGAATATTTTTTAAGTTAAATTAAATCTCATACTGGATTTACAAAGATTATTTATTTAGAGTGTGATTTACTGTAGTATTATCCAGTTAATATAATTTATTATGTTGGAATAAAATTTAAATAAATATTAAATATTATTGTTATAGTGTTTATTAAATATTTAATAAACATATAGTAATGAAAAATTGACTGGAATAGATCTTCTGTCAATATATTTTTATAGTTAACTACTCAAAGTTTTACTTGGTATTTGGAAGTGTTTGAATTGATTCAACTATTTCATTTTTATAAATATTTATATAAAATTATTTAAAATTTAAAATTGTTTTATTTTATAACATAAGAGTACAATATTAGTTATGATTAAAAATAAAAATATTTACTGTAATAGAAAATCAATGTTTGACAATTACCAGTTACAGTCAAATCTTGTTGCTGTGTTATTAGTTTAAGCAAAGTCTGTGTTACTGCAAAGTAATTTTCAATCCATGAAGGAGGATTGACATTTCAACATGAGTTTGGTTAATTCTGAAATAGAAATTGCTATTCAGAGCACTAAATGTCAAATTCTCACCTTTTAATTTCTCTAGTGAGCATTTGCATTGATTAACTTATAAAATGTTAATAAAAAATAACAATAATATTTGATTGTTTTACATTATTGATCATATTATATCAATTATTTGAAAATTACTTATCATCAATAATAATCAATTAATACTGATAGCTGTTACATTCATAGTCTGTACCTACTATAAAATTTATAGTTGATTTTTAAGAAAATTGAAAAAGTTAGGAATTGCTAATGTAATTTCTTGTAATTGAAACATATATGGCATATTCAAAAATGATACTAAAATATTAAATTTCAGCAATCAAATTCAACTAAAGTTTAAAGCTAACTAATAGTTACCATATGCTGCAGTAATCCTTAGATGATCTTGTTTCTCTTGTATTTGTTTAATGTTATTCTGGAATTGTTGATATAAACTTGAAATCACTGTTGGCTAAATATTTCAATGCTCATCCCAGTCATTTAGTCTCAACACCAAATATCAAGTTTTTCAGCTTCTTGATTTACCATTTTATTGAATCTGATAAATATGTATACAACATTATGACTTTATTGACAAAAGTTGCTTTTTACATATATTTTCACAAAAAGTAGATTTACTGTTTGTGAAAATGCATGGCTGGTATATGCAGTCTCATTTCATACTAGTTTTAAATGAAATCACTTAACATGCAGGTTGAAGAGACTTATTTGCAAATTTCACTGCAGAAATGATTTGTGAGATCCTGATCATGACTTCCAATGCTATCATGGGAAATTAGAAATCTGTAGAAATCTGTTCACCCTGTAATGTAATTGCATATGTTTATGAACTGTGTCAATAAAGTTTAAAAATAAATAAATACAATTTACCATTTTTATTTTATGACTAATTTCCTGTGTACAGTAATAATTATAAAATAAACTGAGAAAAAAGTAAACAGAAAGTACAGTGGTACCTCGGTATATGTCTGCCTTAGAATATGTCCTGTTTGGACGAAACAAATTTTGCTCGGTATACGACTTAATTCAATTATACGCGCCATCTATGAACAAGTAGTACTATCGGTATACTAGACCAGAATAGATGTTCGCGGTGCCACAGTTTATAACTTTGTTAAATTTCTTCTGATTTTAATTTGTAAGTAAAATGTTATTATTTTTATTAATCATGAATTGCAAAAAGGCAAATGAAAAGCAACAGAAAACTAAAAAAATGACTAGAATCACAATGGAACTGAAAAAAGAGATTTTGAGAAATATGAAGGTGGCATGAGTGTTCGAGATTTTAACTGTTGCATACCGTATTCTGAGAACGACGATATCGACAATCGTGAAAAATGAAGACATTATTAAATCTGCTAACGTTGCGAAAGGGGTTAAAACAATTTCTAAACAGAGATCGAAGACATTAGATCATGTTGAGAAATTGCTTTTGCTTTGGATAACTGAAAAACAGTGTGCTGGCGACAGCGTATCAGAAGAAATTATTTGCGAGAAAGCTAAAAAGATACATGCTGATCTCATGAAAAATCAAGCAGGAACTAGCCAGGAAAGCGAGGTGTTTCAAGCCAGCCATTTTTTTTTAACATGAGAACAGATTAATCATTTTTACATTACTTCTTATGGGAAAGGTTGGTTCGGTATACGTCCTATTCGGTATAAGTCCAAACATCAGGAACGGATTAAGGTCATATACTGAGGTTACACTGTAATTTAATATTGATGATGATGATATTTTCTGTTTAATTTTGTTCAAAATGTTGTTGTAACTTTTTAAACATAATTTCATCATATGTTTCACTTATTTTAATATTTTATTTTGTAACACATCATCAATTATTTTTAGAATTTTGTTGCAAGTCAATGAATTTAATGTTTGTTCAAACCATTTATGTTCTTTTGTTTTAGCTCACAGGTTCCCAACCTATGGGTCGCGACCCAGAAGGGGGTCACGACGGGCTTTCTGTGGGGTTGCCAACTTATACAGTAAATTAAAAAAATATATATTCACTATAGTCAGTCAGTCAGTCAGTCAGTATTATTTATTAAAGTACAGCGTACATACTTGGTGTCGCGTTAAGCATGACCAAGGTAGAATACAGGATATATAAAGATATGTGACAAAGTAGTGACAATACAGTAGAGTGATGTAAAATATAATAATAATACGATACACAGAACAAACCTAAGTATTACAGAATACAGAATAAAAACAAATCAATACAAATGCAATACATAACAGAACAGTACAATACAGAAATAAAACATGACAAGACAATAAAAGGTACAAAGACATGTAAGTGATGTAAAACCGGAGTAGAAGTATATGCATAGACAGCAGTATGGCTGGGAGTAACATGTTACAAGATCAAGCCGTTACAAGTGACAATTTNCTCACCCGCGAATTTTGAGGCTGGTTAATAACATGCAATTTCAACCATCGCGTTAAATTATTAAGCATAATTTAAAATAAAATTATACTAAAAAAACTAATTTCGTTGTTTTTTTTAATTACCTTGTTAAAAATGCTTTTTTCAATTGTATCGGGGTCGCGGGACACTTGGCTTTTATAAAAAGGGGTTGCCACCGGAAAAAGGTTGGGAACCGTTGTTTTAGCTTGTGACTGTAATTTAAAATTGGCATATAAGCCACAAATACTTTCAAATTATCTTCCAAACACACACAAAAATAAACACTGTCACAAATTTACAGTGTTTATTTTTTGAAATAATTGACTAATTGTCATGTGAATTAAATGCATAAACTATAGTTAACATAATTTTAATAGTAAAACAAGAATTTTTATTTTTATAATTAAAAATGTTTTGAATTGTTAAAATTTTCAGAAATTTTTTTTTTATAAATGCTTAATTAAATTGAATTAAAATGAAAAAGATTGGGTTTAATATATAAAAAATAAGAAATATTCATTTGTTTTTAGATGTTGTATTCCAGTTGGATGATGGTTTATGTTCAGCTCATAGGCCACTTCTAATGGCTCGTTGTGATATGATGGCTGCCATGTTTCGTGGTGATTTTCGAGAAAGTTCAGCTAAAGTGGTAAGTAATATTTCAGCTATAAATTGTATTAATTAATTATTTTATATTTTTCACATAGTTATTAATTTTTTATTCAGGTACACTTCCCAGGTGTTGCTAAAGACTGTTTTTATCAGCTGCTGGTTTATCTCTATACTGATAACATTGATGCATCTGTCACACCAAATAACTGTTTAGATTTATTAGAATTAGCAAATCGGCTCTGTTTACCACGATTAGTAGCATTGGTCGAAAAACATATTGTATTTGAATTGATGAAAATGACTGAAACAGGAATTGATACCACTGAACATACCTTGAGATTACTCGAGCCTTGTCAGGTACTTGTTCCTCATATAACTTTTGATTCAAAATTATTTATTGAAATTTTTACTTAGGTTTAGTGTGTGCAAATTTTAACCAATGCAATAATTCAAACTGAAAATATAAAATTTATTTATTTTTTTTAAATAGTAACATTAAAATAAATGATTACAATATTATTTCAGCTACAAGTGGTGAATTATTGATTTTTACTTTCAGATTTTATTAATTATGTTTGTTTATTTAATTACTATGTGATAAATAAAACAAATGTTAAAACCAATTATCTTTGTGATAACTAAAAAAATTTATGATTTTTATCTCTGCAAAAAACAGATGTAAACACAAAAGTTAATTACATATGTAATTTTTTAACATAAAAGTATTGAAATTCTAGAGAATTATTAATTATAAAAAGTCAAAATGTTAACATATAAATAAGAAAATATCAGTAAAATACTTTAATTTCTATATCAAATACTAATAAAAGAGATTCAGTATAATTTAATATAATAATAACTTTCTGTAAATGACATAATTTCTTAACATAGCATTTCTTCCACTTGATATATATTACTGAAGAAGATTACTTGTCAATATAAGTGAAGCTTTTATGTAAATCATTAATGAAAAGTCAGCTGAAAAATATTTTATTAATCAACATTATCTAAGTCTTTAAATTACCATTTTTAAAGATTGAAACAAGAGCAATACATGACACAATGACAAAGTATATCCTTCTTATGCATCCAGCTTTCTTCAGTTCTTATGATAAATACAATATTAATAAAACTGTTAAAAAAAAAACAGTAATATTTAAAATTTGTTTAGTGTTTTAAACTTAAAAAGTTTAAAATAGGTATTGGTAAAATATTAGTAAAAACAGATCAGTATTTACTATTTCATAAATTCTTACCAGATACATCAGCTTTAACTGAATAGTTGCTTGATTTTTTTTTATATCTGTTAAAATAATTATCAATATCCTTTTATCCAATATCCCAAATAGAAAATAGATTTAAAAATTCTTTAACAATAATTGACATAGATTTAAAACAGATATTTAATGAAACTTTAAAATGTATGTATCACTTGGAGTCAATATCTTGGAAGAAATTGAGCATATGTATGTAGAATATTTTAATATTGCATTGTTAACTTATTGAAATTAATAATGTATATACAGTAGACCCCCCCTATAACGCTTAGATACGTTCTACGTTATTCGAATTTTACGTTGTAGGAATCATTAAATATATGAGCCAATCGCAGCCTGACATGTGTGAAGTTTACGGACTAAGGCTGTTTGAAAGGTTTTCTTCTATAAAATTAACCGATTCTAGACTAATTCCACTCAACATTTCCAAAACACGTATAATTTTTTGGGAATAATCCATATAAACTATGCTATAAACAAAAAATTGTAGGATTACTTACCGAGTGTGCACCGTTCAACTATGCCATTGCTCAAGCTTGTTTTCGTTGCGGAACAGCGCACAAAACGGCGGCTGCGATTTCTGATAACGAATTTTTCACAGAAAAATAACTTGACCTTTGGAGACATCATTAATATAAATAATTTTTATGGCCGTTGAATAAGAAATGTTTCTTTCACAAGAAATGTATAAAATTAGTGCTGTATTAGACTTACGGTACCTAATTTACATACTGTACAGACGATAATAAACTCAACTTACTAGCCTAAAATCTCCGTAGCGTGTTGCCAGGCGGCAGAAAGCATATATATAATTATAATAAAGTTACAATAAATTAAGTTAATATATAATTATATATACAGTACCTAATTTATATATAATTAATATATAATTATATGTACAGTACCTAATTTATATATAATTTATATATAATGCTGTACAGATGATAGCAAACTCAATTTAGCCGCCTAAACTCTCCGTAGCGTGGCGCTGGATGGCAGAAAGTAGTTCGGCTGCTCGTCCACTATTGGTCCAGATTCGACCAATCTTGTCATGACAGGAGTTGGCGACGACGTTTTATGAGTCACTTTATACGAATACTGCTACAATTTTTTCGCTACGTTATAGGGGGGTCGACTGTATTGTAATACAGGTCAAACTGATGAGGGACTTGTGTCCAAACTGCAGCTTTGATCAAGTATCAAAAATATAATAAGAAAAAGGAAATTCAAACTGGAAAATAATCAAACAATATCATGCAAACAACCTTTTCACTTTCCAGCACACTTATTTAATGATTGGACAAATGTTTTATAACTGCTTTACAGATCAACTTCAGATCTAACTATACTTGAAAATTAAATGAAATTGCCATCTGATGAAATTCTATAATTTACCTATACATTAATGTATTTTTGTTAATATTTCTGGAACATTAATCTAGTTTGTTTCTTAGGTCATCTGTACATTATTGTATATTTTCCAGTTTGAATTTTGATTGATACATTAATGTATAGGTAGACCTGAAGTTGATCTGTAAAGCAGTTCAAAAACATTGTCTGATCATTAAATAAGTGTGCTGGAAAGTGAAAACAATAAAGTACTTTTAAAATAGTTATTAACCTTGTCCATCATAGGATTAGTTCCTAGCAGCAGCTACTATAGTGAAAGAAGCATCTTGTTTTTTATAGTATTAATTTGAACACAACACTTATTGAATAATCATTTTAAATAAGGAAAGGTTGAATGTACAATTTGGGCATTTATTATTGTAATGCAGATAAAGGGTATATTTACATGTACAGAAAATATTGCCAAACAGGGCAGTGAAGAAATTGCAAGCATATTAATAAAGATTTTAAATAGTCTGGTTATTTTCAAGGAAAACTCTTTTCGCCAACAACTGTGGGAGTCAAAACATAGATTGGACTATTATGTCAGTCTAGTTTAAACTTGTGTGCAAAAAATTTCCAGTTCCAGCCATTGAACATAGATTCTTAGTTAGCAGTCACACACATTTACCATCAGATCATGCTTTTATCTCAGTAGAAAAGAAGAGAAAGTGTTTAAAGCAGATCTACCACACAGATCATTGGTGTCATCATGCTATAAAGGATTCAAGAAAGTGTAAGTAATTTTTTGTAACTAAGAGGAAACAATCAAAATTTTTCTGTTTTGAACTTGTTTTAAAACAAATAAACAAAAGACAATTTACTGATGATAAGCTTTTACTAAGTTTTAATCAAGTAAGATGTTTCAGGTTTGAAACCAAACATCCAAATAACACATTTGTGAAGCATTTTCTTAATGAAGATTTCAGGGCTATAAATATAGGCAAAAGAGGAATTAAAAAAAAACCTTAAATTTTGAGAGACTGGTAAATCTGAAGTCAAAATATAATGTACCAATTGGTCTTAACACAAACAAGTTGGAAAATCTTAAGCACCTCACCTATATTCCAACCATGTATCATCAGTTTTACATTGATTTGAGTGTTTTGCTGTTAAGTGTTGCCAATACAGGTGCTGAACCTCCTGAACCTGAGATAGAGAACTTGGATGAAGAAATGAATCAACCAAAATATTATAATTAATGACGATCTGAACAAAGATGTACTAAAAGAACTATATGATTTAATATCATTAATTTTTACGGTACTATCTACGAGTGCATGTATTGAGCACAGTTTTTCAACCATAAAGCAAATTGATACATTTGCAAGGAACACTCAGTCAAAGTGTTCCTTTGCACTCGTAGATAGTACCGTATTGATCTGCTAGTGATGACAATCACTAGCAGAGCTTTTAAATACTTTGATTCAATCAACGACAAGCAACTTTTATGATAAAGTAATTAATGACTTTGTGGAAAAAATTGCCAAATAGAGTTAGTTTATAAAAAATAATTAAAAGTTTTATACTTTGTTTCATGTCAATTATCTATTTTAGAATTAAAATAAATAAACTGTTTATTTTTGTCATTTCCAGTATTTGTTTAAAATTTTTATGGAAACAGTATCTCTTATCATCAAATGTCATGGCACGTCACTGCATATGAACAATTAACCAAGTTTGAGAGGGAAAAGATCATTAGGTTGAGAGAAGTGGATGGTCATCTCACTGAACAGCTTGCCATCTAGGCCATTCTGACAACAATGTGAGGTGTTCAGATCAGTGGACGAGAGAGAGCTCGCATACACAGTGCCCAGGCTTTGGACACCCTCAGCAAACCACAAACTTGAGAGGAGTGCTCGTCCTCTGACAAACAGACACCCAATCATATCGTCCACAGGTAGCACCATCATTACAGGCCCCTGTATCTGTCTGTACCATTTCGAGGCACCTGGGTGAGGAACATTTGGTATTGCAGTGGCCAGTGTGCTGCCATTGACTGCCACCCATCGTCACCTCCATTTGGAGTGATGTCACTCCTAATGAGATTGGACTGCAATGGAATGGAACTAGGTCATGTTTGTTTGTTTGTTTAGTTATGGCAATGTAACACTTGGGTGATCTGCCTAGGAGGGTGCCTTCCGAGAGGTCTTTTTAAGGGAAATTGGCCCCTATTTAGGCATTACAGATGTGGAGAAAACCCAGAAAACTCCACGTAGCCAGTCTGTTCGAGTGAGGCGCGAACCTATGACTGAACTCCCAGTGTTCAGGGAACAGAAGACCACTTGGCCAGTGGTGGGCTAGAACTAGGTCATTTATAGTGACGAATCTAGATTCAGATTGAGCACTGACGATGGCTGTATTCATGTCTGGGACCCTGTGGTGACTGTTTCAATCCTGCCTACACTTTGGAGTGGCTGGCACATCACCCCACAGCTGGTGTGATGGTCTGGGATGCCATCACACACAACAGCCGGTCACCTCTAGTAATGATCCAAGAGATCATGACAGCCCAGCAGTATGTTAGTGACATCCTGCAGCCATGTGTTGCTTCTCATGGCAGAGCTTCCAAAAATCACTTTCCAACAAGACAATGCTTGACCACATGCAGCAGAGGTGTCACAGGAGTGCCTCCGCCACTTACCACACTTCCCTGATTTGTCACCAATCAAACATGTCTGGGATCATCTCGGACACCAAGTTGGACAGTCTAGGAGTTTGGCTGAACTAGAGAAGCAATTGTAGACTGAGATGCTGCAGGATACCATACATCACCTGTATGCCTCTATGCTCACTTGTATCACATCATGTTTTCATACTAGAGGTGGCCCAACAGGGTACTAAAACCTCCTTTTATTTGTAGTTTTTCCTGCAATAAATGATCCGTTTGCTTTCATTTTGTAATTACTTATTTATATCACCATTGCACTCACACATGCACAATTTTATTTAATTCAGACAACTCTTTCTTAGTGCACTAATTTTTATGGCAGTGAGTGTATAAACCATATATTTGATGTAAAAAGATAGCAATTAAAATATCTTTTGTTAACTTAAAAAAATTAAAAACCTCATAAAAATATAACATGGAACTTTTTTATTTTGAATAAAAGTTAATTCTTTATTTGAATTCATAATACCTAATTAAAAAATTTTACTTTTAAGATATTAGATTTATAAAAAAAAAATTGTAAAATATTTAAAGTCCCATGAAATGTGTTAAATATAACTTTATTATTTTAAACACATCATTTTCTATTTTCTTTAGATGCATAATGCTGATCAGTTGGCAGATTGGTGTCTCTACCATATTGCCGTTAATTACAACGATATTTGTCGAAAAACACCAAAACTCTTAAGAAACCTCCATCCTGAGAATCAAGCATATTTGAACAGAAATCGCTGGCCTCCTATTTGGTGAATATTAAACAAAATATAACAGTATTTATCTTTAAGCAATTTAATAATAAAATGAAAAACTAACAATAAGTTATACAGAAAATGGTTTTTAACATACATTAAATAAAAAAACAAACATAATGAAATATTTTATGCAATAAAAAGCAATTATTAAAAAAAATAAGATTTGAATTAAGGTATGTTCTTTAGATTTTATTTTCCATAATTTTTCTAATTAGTAGTAATTGATAAATTCTGTATTAAGTTTACTTTGTGTATCATGAGTGAACAGTATGGTTATTAATGTATGGCCTGAAGCAAAAATTGGTTGGAGGTGTGGGTAGTGTAATTGGCAACATATTTGTAAGCAAGAGTTATAGGTTCAAGTTTTGCTCTGGTTAATTGTTTCTTTCAGAATATTCTAAATTAAATTTAATATCAATGCAAAACAACACAGTCTACCTCTAGCTAAATTACTTAAGGCTAATTAATTATTAAGGAATTACAGTAGCTAAATAAATATTCAAAAAATAGCTGGAGTCTTTAAGTTTACTTTTTCTTCATATACTGATTTTCAGCCTTTATCTTTTACTATTGTATTTTGATGACATTATAATAATTTTTAATAAAAATCCTTTGTGTTGTGAAAGTCTGTGTTTGTAAAACACATGATAATATGACAAAAAAAGTTCATATTGCTTTATTATTCGAATGAGTCGACAGAGAACAGAATGCTCGTCATGGAGACACTTATATACAGATATAATTACAACATCTCCCCTCTCGTTCGATCTTCCTGCGACAAAAATTTAACATATACATACAATCCTGATTAATACTAAGAAACCAATAATTAAACTTAAACCTAATAACTATACTACAAGAAAAGAAGGAAGGTTAGTTAGGAAATCTACCGGTAGCTAGATCTGTGGGTCCTGAACTGGGTGAATATTGACGGTTCTCATTTCGTGCATGGTGAATGTACGATCCGTTTGCATCCAAAGGGGGACAAAGCAGTTATTATTGAACATTGAGCAGTTATTATTGTTGAGGTGGGTGGTTCCTTGGAACTCTCCGGAACGGCTATCCCAATTATTTCTTTGTCTCCATTCCTATCTTAGCTATCTTGGCCCTTTCTCTCTTTCACCTTCTGCCTTATACACAGTCTTCCAGTTGCTCTCGTGTGACCTCTCTCTCTCTCTCGTGGCGAACCCAAAAGTGTCCTTTCTCCTCACCTCTGTCTAACGGTCTCCTTGGGCAGGACCTCTGTCCTGTTCCTTTTTTAGATTGGCCAATCAGGACCCACAAATATTACAGTTCCTGTCACATGACAAGAAAGGGTTAAAAGCAGAAGGAAGAATTATGGGAAAGAAGAAAGGAGTTCTTATTCTATAAACAGTATAATTATACAACAAAATGGTGGACAGCCACAGTGTTATCAATTGACCTTTAATTTTAGAAATATTTATTATATTTTATCATTTTNTAAAATTATAATTTTTTAATATTATCAATTTTAAAGATTATCTATTATACAGTTATTATTTCTTTGCACTTTCTCTATTAGGATATAGCATTAAATAGCACTAGTTTTAACTAATTGTGCTTGTCCATAAATAAACGTCCTTCCTTTATATTTTTAAAACTTTTATTTAATAAAGTTTAACCTGAGAAATGAAATTTCTTTCTCATATATTTTTATTGGAAGAAATTACTTTTTACATAGCAATAAATTAAATTAAGTTCCTTATGTAAATTATAATGAAAATAATTAATACATGTTAAAAATTGTTTTCAAAAATATTTTAGATAAAATGTTTTAATTAAATTGATCCAAGGAAATTTTAAAAATAATGATTTAAAAAATATTAACAATCTGCTTTTTGGAAAATAACTGTATAAATTGTGATATATTATTGTATATAATACGTGCTGAATGTTTTGATGATATAAACTGCTGAAAGCAATATCAAGTAATATTATTATTCTTTATCTAATCTTAATTCTTTGACAGATAAAATTAAAATAAATATTTTATAAAAATATATATATTCCAAGCATATTGGAAGTAGTTTCTGGCTAATATATATATATACATATATATTGAAAAAGCACAATACACTCCCTTTTGTGCCGTTTTTATGATGTATCTTAGAAAGAAAAATTTAGTACATTCCAGGATGAAATTAAAAAAAAGAAAAAAACAATTTTAAACATTTGGTTTAAATATGTATTATAATTTAGATTGTTTTTTAAGGTTTTATAAGTTGTATATATGTATTTTATATTTTTAAGTTTTATGTTAAGTCACATGCTTATAAATATTTTTAATTTATTTTAAATAATTTTGTAGATATCTTGTGTTTTGAATGTTTTGACTTGTTTATATAAATATACACACACAAATGGTTTTATTGTTTGCAAATTATCAATGTTTACTTTATTTTTACCTTAATATTAAAAAACATTTTTTGTTTGTTTTTTTCTTTTTGTATGATGATGTAATGATTATATTAATTTTACCTTCATAAAAGAGCAGGATTTAAGAGCAGGATAAACTGAATGATTATCATTTGTATTAAAAATTTCAATTAAGGATTGAGATTATTCTTTTCATTACATATTGTATATATTTATAATGGTTATGCTATATTTCATTCATGTATTGATATTTTGTAAACTAAATTAAGAAATACACTATCATGATACATACTAATCCCAATTATAACTCTCTGTTGATTAGTCAACTGTACATTGTGTACATATCAGCAAATGGAAGTGTACTAATTGAACAGAATTTTAAAAATTCATAAAATTAAACATTAATTGAAAAACTTTTATCATTATATAGATTATATATTCTCTCTTGATATCAGTTCTGTTATTATTTGATAAGATATATATTTTAAATGCTGAATTATTTTATTTTATCTTATAGTAATTTATATATTTTATATAAATAAATATTGTAATGTTGACTATATATCAAATGATAATTATTGTAAAAATCTTGGAAGTTTGATTCCAATTTTGTAAATCATCCATTCAACAGCTTACATTATTAAAAATTATACTATTTTAATAATGAAATAGTTTTAAATTTTCTTTACTAGAATTATTTAAAATGATTATTAAAATATAATTTTTTATATTGAATAACTTAAATATATATTTACTAAATTATAGAATGAGAAGATTAAATTTTAAATTATTTATATCACTACATCAAATTGACTTTTTTATTTACACTTACTATACAACTTACCTTTCTCTCTTTTTCTTGACTGTTTTAATGTTACTGTTATTTTTAATTTTTTCAGAAGTTGAGTATTAAATTTCCTTAATGTTTTCTTTATTCCTGTATTTACAATTTTTTTACACATTTTGCTAGATAGAATTTCTCTTTCTTATTGTTGTATATAGGTTTTCCTTCTGGTAATCATATCAAATATTTTTGATTTGACCACTAGATATATAATTTGTTGTAATAATAATCTTATATTTGATATGATATAAAAATTTTATTATTATTAAGAGATTTATATCCTTTGAAATTGTAAATAAATAGCTAATTTTTTTATTATTAAACATATAACATTTAATAAGAATGGATATATATCATTTATGAAATAAAGTATTTGTAGATTTGTTTCAAATCTACAAATAAACTTTTATATTTATCTGTAGATGAAGTTTATCAATTGAGTCATATATCAGATATTTGTAATTATATTAATTTGTAAAAAAGGAAAAATAAATCTTCTAAGCAAAACTTACTAAAGATATTCTATCATATCACAAGTATTCATAAATATAATATTTAGTAAATTTAAATGAACTTGTATTACAATATATCATAATTTTATATAAAAAATTCTGATAAGTTATATTTCTTCAACATGAGTAACAAGAGTCCATTTTCAATATCTTGCTCAAATAAATAATAATGAAATTAGATAATTTTTAAAATTCATCATCAGAAAACAAATTTAGACAAATACAGTTGAACCTGTTTATCTCAAAAAGCTCTTTATCTCAAAATTTATTTTTCCCCTTGCATTTCAGCATAACTTCAATATATTTTCCATGTTTACTCAAATGATTTACTCCCAAAATCTCTATATATCAAATTATAGACGGAAATGTTGATTACAAATTTAAAGCTCAGTGACTACATCTTGATAGAATAAACTGTAGTTGCTATACAGTACATAGTTGCAATAAATACTTCTTTTCTTTGATTGGCCATGAGTTTGGCTTGTCTTATTGGTTGAAGAAAGTCAGTCATCAGAAACTATTGACAAACTGTTTTTGTTAAGGGATGTCAAAAATGTTTTATTTATACTTATAATGCTGGTATTACTATACTTCCTATTGTATTAATACAATACTATATATCTAAAAACAACCAGTGCACAAGTAAACTGAAACTATATATGAGCAGAATAACATCTAAACACAAATTTCCAGCAAATTTAATTTAATGTTTGAGCATTAAATATTTGTGTATTTATTTTCTGGAAATTTGTGTTTAGGTGTTATTCTGTTCACCATATATCTATAATAATTGAACCTATTACTATTTACTGTTAGGAATTGCTATATCTTAAATTTTTTCTAATTTCTGTGAGATTCGAGATAGGCAGGTTCAACAGTATCTAATTCTGTTCAAAATTTGTTTCACTGAACAAAGTCAATATTTTTTAAAAATTAACTTTATAATGATAAAATCTCTTCCATTTTGATCACAAAAAAATTTCAATTTTAGTTAATAGGATATGGTGTTCAAAAATATGGAATTCTACACAACTTGATAAGTTAATTACATATGCATCATTAAAAAGAGAAACTGTTCATAGAACTGCTTGAAAAGTTTTTTTTACAATTCAATACAGCTTCAATGTCCTCCTAACTCAAGCAGTTAACAGAGACCAGGAATCACTCAGAAGGTATATGTTAACAAATTCTTTTTACTATATTCATATATGACTAGCTGATATATAGAAAATATGAGAAGATCCTTAGAAGTTAAGCTAAAAAAATATTAGATATTAAATTTTGTAGAAATACAATTGCTTTGTTT